GGAAGTGCTTTCCCCTGGAGTCCACTGACATGTTAAAGGTGTAAGTGGTATTCACAATTGTGAACATTGGAAAGGAAATAGATCGACTACCTCTGTCATGTGTTTAGAAGGCCGTGACGTTAAGTATAAAGCACTAAGGAGGTAAAAAGCATATAAAAGGAAACATTGAAGAGAGCAATTTATGCAACATTATGTTTGTCCTGCTTGAATACTCAGGCATAATAATAATAATAATAATAATACATGGCAATCTGTGATTAGGTAAGAAAAGCTGTTTCACCCCTGAAATTCCAAAGGGACTTCTGCACATTTAAGACAAGCTTCTTAGAAATGGCCTGGGTCTCTATTTTGTGGTGCCTCGGAGGCAGTTGGCAGCTGCAGGATGAAGCTGAACATCCCTTTCCCAGCCACTGGCTGCCAGAACCTCACTGAAGTGGATGCTGAACACAAGCTTCATACCTTTTATGAGAAGCGTGTGGCCCTGAAGTTGCTGCTGACGCTCTGGGTGAAGAGTGGAAGGGTTATGTGGTTCGGATCAGTGGTGGGAATGAAAGCAGGGCGTTTTGACCCATGGCTATGTCTGCCTGCTACTGAGAAAGGGGCGTTCCTGTTACAAAGAAGGACTGGACACAGAAAGTGCAAGTCTGTTCGGGGCTGCATTATGGATGCCAATCTCAGTGTCCTCACCTTGGTCATTGTAAAAAGGGGAGAGAAGGACATTTCTGGTCTCACTGATACTATTGTGCCTCATCACTTGGGGCCCAAAAGGGCTAGCAGACTTGGCAGTTTTCAGTCTCTCTAAAGAATACAATGTCCGCCAGTATGTTGTGAGAAAGCCCCTAAACAAAGAAGGGAAGAAACCTGGGATCAAATTACCCAAGACTCAGCATCCTGTTACTCCACGTGTCCTGCAACACAAACATTAGCCCATTGCTCTGAAGAAACAACATGCTCAGAAAAGAAGAGGCCACAGAATATGCTAAACTTTAGGCTAAAAGAATGAAGGAGACCAAAGAAAAATGCCAGGGACAGATTGCCAAGAGCCATAGCTGTCCACTCTGACAGTGTCTACCTCTAAGTCTGAGTCCAGTCAAAAACGAGATTTTCTAAAGGTAACTAAGTAAGAACAAACATAGAAAGAGAGAGAGAAAAAAGAAATGGCCTGTGTCTGGGGTGAGATGGGCACTGGCTGGTGAGGGATTTGCCAAGTAAGCTCTTCCAGTGTGGCACAGTGGGGAAGAACATGGACCCATGACTCAAGCATGACCCATGTGCATTTCAACCCTGTTCTTCTACCTGCTGGCTGTGTGCCTTTTGACCTGTGTTAGCCTTCAGAGACCTCAGTGTCTGCATCTAAACTCAAATATCCGATATAATAAAGAGGTGATATGCAAATTGACCATCACTCCAACACACAAGATGGCTGCCCCCATGTGGTCAAAGATGGCCTCCACAAGATGGCTGGCAGGGAAGGGCAGTTGGGGGTGATCAGGCCAGCAGGGGAGAGCAGTTGGGGGTGATCAGGCCAGCAGGGGAGAGCAGTTGGGGGTGATCAGGCCAGCAGGGGAGAGCAGTTGGGGGTGATCAGGCCAGCAGGGGAGAGCAGTTGGGGGTGATCAGGCCAGCAGGGGAGAGCAGTTGGGGGTGATCAGGCCAGCAGGGGAGAGCAGTTGGGGGTGATCAGGCCAGCAGGGGAGAGCAGTTGGGGGTGATCAGGCCAGCAGGGGAG